CATCAGGTGGCCAAAGTATTGGAGTTTCAGCTTCAGCATCAGTCCTTCCAATGAACACCCAGGACTGATCTCCTTTAGGATGGACTGGTTGGATCTCCTTGCAGTCCAAGGGACTCTCAAGAGTCTTCTCCAACACCACAGTTCAAAAGCATCAATTCTTCAGCGCTCAGCTTTTTACATAGTCCAACTCTCACATCCATATATGACCTCTGGAAAAACCATAGCTTTGACTAGATGGACCTTTGCTGGAAAAGTAATGTCTTTGCTTTTTAATATGCTGTCTAGGTTGGCCATAACTTTTCTTCCAAGGAGCAAGCAATCTTTTAATTTCATGGCTGCAGTCACCATCTGCAGTGATTTTTGGAGCCCCCCAAAATAGAAGTCTGCCACTGTTCCCATTGTTTCCTCTTCCTCATCTTTTTGCCATGAAGTGATGAGACTGGTTGCCATGATCTTGTTTTCTGAATGTTGAGTTTTAACCCAGGTTTTTCACTCTCCTCTTTCACTTTTATCGAGAGGCTCTTTAGTTCTTCCCTGCTTTCTGCCATAGGGTGGTTTCATCTCCGTATCTGAGGTTATTGATATTTCTCCCGGCAATCTTGATCCCAGCTTGTGCTTCATCCAGCCCAGCATTTTGCATGATGTACTCTACATAGAAGTTAAATAAGCAGGGTGACGATATACAGCCTTGACATATTCCTTTCTCAATTTGGAACCAGTCTGTTGTTCCATGTCCAGTTCTAACTGTTGCATCTCGACCTGCATACAGATTTCTCAGGAACAGGTTAGGTGGTCTGTTATTCCCATCTCTTGAAGAATTTTCCACGATTTGTTGTGATCCACACAGTCAAACGCTTTGGCATAGTCAATAAAGCAGCAGCAGATGTTTGTCTGGAACTGTATTGCTTTTTATGTGATCCAGCAGATGTTGGCAATTTGACCTCTGGTTTCTCTGCCTTTTCTAAATCCAGCTTAACCATCTGGAATTTCATGGTTCATGTACTGTTGAAGCCTGGCTTAAAGGATTTTGAGCATTACTTTGCTAGTGTGTGAGGTGAGTGCAGTTGTACAATAATTTGAACATTCTTTGGCATTGCCTTTCTTTGGGATTGGAATGAAAACTGACCTTTTCCAGTGCTGTGGCCACTGCTGAGTTTTCCAGATTTGCTTACATATTAAGTTCAGCACTTTCACAGCATCATCTTTTAGGATTTGAAATAGCTCACCTGGGATTCCATCTCCACTAGCTTTGTTCATAGTGATGCTTCCTAAGACCCACTTGACTTCACATTCCAGGATGTCTGGCTCTAGGTGAGTGATCACACCATCGTGGTTATCTGGGGTCATGAGATCTTTTTTTTAATAGTTCTGTGTATTCTTGCCACCTCGTCTTAATATCTTCTGCTTCTGTTAGGTCCATTACCATTTTTTCTGTCCTTTATTGTGTCCATCTTTGCATGAAATATTCCCTTGGTATCTCTTAATTTTCTTGAAGAGATCTCTAGTCTTTCCCATTGTATTGTTTTCCTCTATTTCTTTACATTGATCACTGAGGAAGGCTTTCTTATCTCTCCTTGCTGTTCTTTGGAACAGCAGTCAAATGTGTATATCTTTCCTTTTCTCCTTTGCCTTTAGTGTCTCCTTTTTTCAACTATTTTTAAAGCCTCCTCAGACAACCATTTTGTCTTTTTTGCATTTCTTTTTCTTGGGGATGGTCTTGATCACTGCCTCTTATACAATGTCATGAACCTCCATCCATAGTTCTTTCGGCACTCTGTTTTTCAGATGTAATCTCTTGAATCTATTTCTCACTTCCACTGTATAATCATAAGGGATTTGATTTAGGTCATACCTGAATGGTCTAGTGGTTTTCCCTACTTTCTTCAATTTAAGTCTGAATTTGGCAATAAGGAGCGCATGATCTGAGCCACAGTCAGCTCCTGATTGCTTTTGCTGACTGTATAGAGCTTTTCCATTTTTGGCTGCAAAGAATATAATCAATCTGATTTCAGTATGGACCATCTGGTGATGTCCACGTGTAGAGTCTTCTCTTGTGTTGTTAGAAGAGGGTGTTTGCTTTGACCAGAGCGTTCTCTTGGCAAAACTCTGTTAGCCTACCCTGCTTCATTTTGTACTTAAAGACTAAATTTGCCTGTTACTCCAGGTAGCTCTTGGCTTCCTACTTTTGCATTCCAGTCCCCTATGATGAAAAGGACATCTTTTTGGGGTGTTAGTTCTAGAAGGCCTTGTAGGTCTTCATAGAACTGTTCAGCTTCTTCAGCATTACCGGTTGGGGCATAGACTTGGATTACTGTGATATTAAATGGTTTGCCTCAAAAACGACTAGAGTTCATTCTGTTGTTTTTGAGATTGTACCCAAATACTGCATTTCAGACTCTTTTGTTGATTATGAGGGCTACTCCATTTCTTATAAGGGATTCTTGCCCATCAGTAATCAGTCAGTTCAGTCACTCAGTCATGTCCGACTCTTCGCGACCCCGTGAACCACAGCATGCCAGGCCTCCCTGTCCATAGTAGTAGATATAATGGTCATCTGAATTAAATTCTCCCATTCCAGTCCATTTTAGTTCACTGATTCCTAAAATGTTGATGTCCACTCTTGCCATCTCCTGTTTGACCATTTCCAATTTACCTTGATTCATGGAGCTAACATTCCAGGTTCCTATGCAGTATTGCTCTTTACAGCATCGGACTTTATTTCCATCACCAGTCACATCCACAACTGGGTGTTGTTTTCCCTTTGGCTGTGTCTCTTCATTCTTTTTGGAGTTATTTCTCCACTCTTCTCTAGTAGCATGTTGGGCACTTACCATCCTGGGGAGTTCAGTATCATATCTTTCATTGTCCTATCTTTTTGCCTTTTCATGCTGTTCATGGGGTTTTCAAGGCAGGAATGCTGAAGTGGTTTGCCATTCCCTTCTCCAGTGGACCATGTTTTGTCAGGACCCTCCACCATGACACATCCATCTTGGGTGGCCCTACATGGCATAGCTCATAGTTTCATTGGGTTAGACAAGGCTGTGGTCCATGTGATCAGTTTGATTCATTTTCTTTGATTGTGGTTTTCATTCTGTGTGCCCTCTGATGGATAAGGATAAGAGACTTTTGGAAGCTTTCTGACGGGAGAGTCTTGACTGTTGGGCAAACTGGGGCTTGTTCTCATGGGTGGGGCCATGCTTAGTAAAGATGGCGGAGTAGAAGGACGTGCCCTTATCTCCACGAGAACTCCAGAATTACAACTCGCTGCTGACCAACCATCGACAGGAGAATTTTGGATCCCACCAAAAAAGGATACCCCATGTCCAAGGGCAAAGGAGAAGCCCCAGCAAGACGGTGGGAGGGGTGAAATTGTGTTTAGAAGGAAACCCCATGCTGACTGGAGACACTGTGAGGGCTCAAACAGAACCTTGTGCGCACCAGGACGCAGAGACCCCACAGAGACTGAGCCAGACCTGCCCTTGAGGGTTTGAGTGTCTCCTGTGGAGGTACGGGTTAGCGGGGGCTTGCCCCAGGGGCAAGGGGCTCTGCGAGCAGCAGACCTGGGTCACGCAGCCTGTGGCATAAGCCCTCTTGGAGGAGGTTGCCATTAACCCCACCATAGAGCCGCTGAGCAGACGCCCCACAGACTGCAGAACAATTACACCAAAGAAATTCTCGCACTGTTGAAGTTCTAGGACCCACAGCAGATTTCCCAACCTGGGGATCTGGCAAAGGGAATGAGAAGCCCCAGGGATTTTGACTTTGGAGACCAGTGGGATTTGATTACAGAACTTAAACAGGACTGGGCAAACAAACTGTTGTTTGCACAAAACCTTGTGTGCACCAGGATCCAGGGTAAAAGAGCAGTGATCCCATAAGAGACTGACCCAGAGCTGCCTGTGAGTGTTCAGGAGTCTCCGGCAGAGGCGTGCATTGGTGGTGGTCTCCTGCAGTTGGGGGCCCTGAGTGCAGCAGTGTATGCCCAGGACCTTTTGAAGGAGGTCGCCATTATCTTTATTACCTCCACAGTAGTTTGGTCTCAGGTTGCATAACAGGGAGGGAACACAGCCCCACCCATCAACAGAAAATTGGAAAGTGGTGGTTACTTGTCCTGTAGTTAGAATCTGCTTTGGATACTAATTAACAGTGTTCTGGCGGAGGAGTTAGCAAATAATAACCCATGGGCTAAGTGTGGTCTTCCTCTTTTTTGTAAATAAAGCTTTCTTGGCCCAGAGCCATGGCTCACTTGTCTTCATATTATCTGTGGTTGGTTTTGTGCAACAGTAGCAGGGTTCAGTAGGTGCAGCAGAGACCACATGGCCCAAAGAGCCTAAAGTATTTACAATTTGGTCCAATACAGAAGAAGTTTGCCAGCCCTTGTTCTCAAATAGAGATAATAATTTTTGCCCTTCAAGGAGCTTACAGGGTAGTCTTAAGCTAGAGAGAGTTATAGCTCAAATGTGTTCTTTTACCCTGACTTTATAATATCATACACTTATGTCCCTTTACTTTTAAAAATACTTAATTGTTTTAAGACATCTTGAAATGATGCTAGCATAAATTGGTCTTACTCATTTTTAAAGTGCCTCCCTTTTCCCTGTCCCCCCTTCGTATGAGTGGAGAAAGAAAAGCAGTTGGTTTTATTTATTACTTCTGTAAAAGTAATCAATTTGGCCTTTTCTTTCTTTGATCTTAAGTGCACTGTTTATGTAGTAATAATAGGCAATACAGATTGTCTCTGATTTACAACTTTTCAACTGCAGTGGTGTGAACACCATAGGCATTCAGCAGAAACTGCTTCAAGTTTTCATATTTTCCTGGGCTAGCCGTATGCACTTTTGTGATGCTGGGCAGCAGCAGAGAATGGCAGCTCTAGTCTACTAGGCGGATCACAAGTATAAAAAAACAGTATATTTAACAACCGTTCTCTACATGCAGCCTTTTTGGTTTTCATTTTTTGTACAGTATCCAGTAAATTACACAAAATATTCAGCGCTTTTTTTTCCCTTATATTATCGATTTGATTTTTATTTATTTGGCTGTGCCAGCTCTTAGTTGCAGCATGTGGGATCTAGTTCCCTGACCAGGGATCCAACCCGGGCCCTTACATTGGGAGCTCAGAGTCTCAGACACTGGAGCACCAGGGAAGCTCCAGCACTTTATTATAAATTAGGCTTTGTGTTAGATGATTGTGCCAACTGTAGTCTAATGTAAATTCTTAGCATAGTTAAGGTAAGCTAGGCTAAACTATGAGGCTTCCTTTCAATGTACAGTGTGTTCAGCTTATTGCCTAGTTTATTAGGGTGTGACTGTAAGTTGAGGAAGATCTGTATAGCCAACTGACTCGTACATGTACTCTTCTATTCATTCTCATTTCAGAAGCAAAGTGTTCTTGATGGAAGTTAAAGCTTCACATGCACCTAGGAACAACTACAGTGTAAAACAGTGACGATAGCAAATGCTGGTGTGGGTGCAGGGAAAGGAGGATCTTTCACTCTTTCTTTGAGGGAATGTAAAATAGTACAGCCACTCTGGGAACAGCTTGGCAGTTTCTTAAAAAATTAATCATACATTTACCGTATGACTCAGCAATCATAGTCCTGGGCATTTATTCCAGAAATGAAAACTTATGTCTACACAAAAACCCAAAGCTGAATATTTATAGCAGCTTTATTTGTAATAGCCAAAAGCTGGAAACAACCAAAGTTTCCTTCAGTAAGTGAGTAATTAAACACACTGGTATATCCATACAGTGGAATATTACTTGGCAATAAAAAGGAACAAACTGTTGATACATGCAACAACTTGGACAGGTTATCAAGAGCATATTGCTGAGTGAAAAAGAGCCATTCTCAAAAGATCACATGCTGTATGAGTCCATTTATGATATCCTTAAAATATCAGAATTTTAGGGAGAGAGAACAGATGTTACATGGCTTAGCAATGGTGGAGGGGAGAAAATGGGTGTGATTATAGAGAGGTGGCAAGAGGAAGAGCTTCATGATAATGCAATAGCTTTGTATTTTGATTGTAGTGATGGTTAAATCAGTATTCAGATATGAATTGTCACAGAACTGTCCCACCCACATTGTTCCCATGTTAATTTCTCAGTTTTGGTATTGTACTACAATTATGGAAGATGTAACCATTGGGGGAAATAGGGTGAAGGATACACATCCTCTCTGTACCATTTGTTAGCTTCCTCTGAATCTACAATTATTTCAAAATAAGAATTAGAAAAAAACTTAAAACACCACTTTCATAGTTTATATGCAAAAACCTTTAGTTTTTTTTTTTTAGGATATCATATATACACTTTAGGATGGAAAGAATGAGAGAAGCTTATGTGCTTTATTAAGAGCCTGAATTTTATCATTTTTTTTAAATCAATGAAGAGAGTTTCACATTGGTATAATACACCAATTGGTGTATAATTGGTATAATGTGGGAATATCACAACACCACTATCATTTTTCTGCATTAAGTGAATATAATTGGGCAAGAATTCAAGAAATAGCAAAGAACTTAAACATTTTTGTGAAGGTGGAATAAGATTAATTTTAGATACTTAAGTTTTGTTTTAAAAGAAATGTGAACTTAGCTGTACCATTAGCTCTAATGCCTCTGTGCATCATTGCAGGCCTTCCGTGTCCTGTCTGAACCAACTGGCCCAGAAACCCCAAGCTCTAAAGAATGTCAGAGGGCTTGGCAATGTTCAGATGTACCAGAACCTGCAGTGTGTGGGATAAGTAGAATCTGGGTCTTCAGACTTAAAAGAAGAAAGCGCATTGCACGACGACTGGTAGACACGCTCAGGTAAGAAGTAAAATTGGTTAGACCCAGGTTAGCACTCCCAAAAGCTTTCCTGGCTCATGAGCCAAAGGGAATGACGTTGGTCTGTGTTAATACTACCAAAGTCAGGCTAACGCAATGCTGACACTGAAAAAAAATACTAGGTGTACTCAGTTTTGCACACAGTATTCCAAGTGTGATATATTCTAGACCAGTGCTTTTCAAACTACCTGTAGTCAAAGACTGGATTCGTTTATAGACCAACACATTAATAAGATAAAGATTAAAAAAAAAAAGATAAATTGCTAGGAAATGAAAGAGGAAAAGAAGGCAAACAAATGGAAAATATAAGCCCAACTTTTTATTAGATTCAACAGATGTAAAATTAATTTAAATATAACCTGTAAAAACAAAATAGAGGTTTAAAAAAAGAATTGTAGAAATTGTATGTTTATTGATGTGTGACTAGATGATTATAATAGAGACTTACTGTAACACAAATGTAACTAAATGTAAAAGTGAATTAGCAAGACAACCCAGAGAATAGTTATTTACAAATCATTTATCTAATTAGTAAAAGTCTAGTATATCTAACATATATAAGAGAACTCTAACACACACATACCTTACAAAGGGGAGCAGTGAGAAAAGTTGGTGTCTGTGAAGATTTTTATTTGTAGTTCATTGTGAAATAACCTCCATTTTCTTTATTTTGTATTGAGATACATAAATTTGGCGTGGAGGATGTGTGTGTATATGTTAGCCACTCAGTTTTGTCTGACTCTTAGCAACCCCATGGACCGTGGCCCGCCAGGCTCCTCTGTCCATGGGATTCTCCAGGCAAGAATACTGGAGTGGGTTGCCATTCCCTTCTGCAGGGGATCTTCCTGACCCAGGGATCAAACCCAGGTATCCTGCACTGCAGGAACATTCTTTACCATCTGAGCCAACAGGGAAGGCCATGGAGAATACCAGTATTTAACCTGGTTCTACCAGGCAGTAGTCCGGTGCTTCTCTAATGTGAAAGTGCTTATGAACAACTTGGGGATCTTGCTCTAATGCAGGCGTGATTCAGTAGATTGGGGTGGGCCTGAGATGCTGCATTTCTAACAAGCTCTTGGCTGATGCTGAATGTTGCTGGTATGTAGGTAATACTTTGAATACTAAGGCAATAGATTGTAAGCAGTGATAAAAATAAAGTTGCAAAGGAGAAATATAAAACAGTCATTTGAGAACATATCTTCTCACACATTTGGGTTGGAGATACAGGTAACATTGGCAGCTCTCCTGTATATGAGGAGCCTGATCCTCTCTCTGTACAGGCAATGTATGTTTTAAGTCCTCACAAGTGAACAGTATTATTCCTAATTGTTTTGTATCAGAAGCAGCTGAGGCTCAGATAGGATTATTAGTACAGATTACACTGACGGAGCTAGTAAAAGGAGAGTTAGGACTCAAAGCCACAGATCTAATAATACTCTTTGAGTAGCTCATACCATTCATGAAGACAAAGACAACTGCTTAATCAATATTTTGCTTTGGAGTCTAGTATATACAGCAATACACTTTTTATTCAATTATGTAGTAAGTGTACTTGAAGCTGATACCTTTACTTCTCATTGAGTCCAATTCTTTTTTATTTTGAAGTAATTTCACATATGGAAGAATAGTAAAAAGAACACCCTCAATATCTTTGTCCAGATTCTTTTTTATTTTCTTCCTGAATTATTTTAAAGTAAGTTACATATAATATGCCTCTTTACCCCCTTAGTACTTCAATATGTTCACGTATATTGTCTTACATAAGAACAGCTCAGTTACCAAATTTGGGATATTTAATATCTAATGTATAGTCCATATTTCAGTTTTGTTATTTGTCTCAAATGCCCTTCATAGCATTTTTTTTTTTTCCTCTTCAGGATTACATATTGCTTTTAGTCATAATATCTCTTTAGTCTTCATCTTCCTTAACCTGTAAGTTACTTAGCCTTTCTTTGTCTTTTAGGACTTTGATGAATTTGAAGACTAAGGCCAGTTATTTCATAGACTATCCCTCAGTTTCACTGAATCATTTCAGCTATTTCACTTTATTGCTTTTAATCCCAGTTGAGCTGGATCAAGGAGAGTTGTAGTCAAAAGGTAGTCAAAAGGCAAAATTAGGTTTTGCCTTCTTAAGAAGCTCTGAATGTGTGATGTAGTTGAAAAGAAGATAGTTATTGGTTAAAATTGTTTTTTATTGTAATTATCTGTGGCTTTTAATTAGCAATATTATTTCATATCAGTAGCTTATTACCACGGATCACCTACAGTCAACTAGATGGTTGCCTTTGTATGGTTCTCTTTGCCTCTCAGCGGAACTTTTTATGGGCCTTAGTTTTCTCACCTGTGAAATGATACCATTAAACTTCCACCCCCTAAAATTTAAGACATTGAGTCATTTTACCACTTAATAAAATGATTTTAACTAAGAATATTTTAAAAGATTGAGGGGCTTTCCAGGTGACTCAGTGGTTTTTACAAAAAACAAAAAGCTCATTCCTGCCAATGCAGAAGACAGGAGTTCGATACCTGGGTCAGGAAGATCCCCTGGAGTAGGAAATGGGAACCCACTCCAGGATTGCCTGGCAAATCCCATGGACAGAGGAGCGTGGAGGGCTACAGTCCATGGTATTGCAAAGAAGTTGGACACGACTCAGTGACTGAAAAACAAAGAGATTGAAGTTTTTTTAACTAGATTGCTTTAAAATATTGTACTCATGTTTAATCAAACTTAAGTTGGTTCCATTGTTAAATTGTCTTTTCCTCTTTTTTTAGGAATTGCTTCATGTTTGGCTGTTTTCTCAGTACTGATGAAATAGCATTTTCTGACCCAACACCAGATGGCAAGTTATTTGCAACCAAGTACTGCAACACACCTAATTTCCTTGTATACAATTTTAATAGTTGAAACCAATTTCAACTATAGAACAGTTAGTTATGTGTGAATGAGTTCTGACAAACTATTTAACAAATAGCAATTATCTAGGGATACAAAGAAAGGAAAAATCTTTAATGTATATTGACTAGCACTCTGAATCCTTAATTATGAAACTTTGTGGCTATAGCTGGAAAATTATTTCTCTTCTATGTAAGAACATTGGTTTTTCACAGAAATTTGACCAGTTATTTGTAAAGTACACTTTGAGGCCAGAATTACTTCATGCCTGATCAGAAAGTTTAAAGATAGGCAAATTTCCATCCCCATTTTTTAAAAGTAACTCCTGATTTCACACACAAAATTCTCATTTTATAGGTACTTGGCTGTAGCAACTCAGTTTAAGTATAGTTAAAGTATTTTGAATTTCCAATTTGTACCAGGGAAGGATGTAAGGAATAAGATTTCCATGTCTTTTTGTATAGAACAGAATTTATAGCTAAATATTTTTTATTTTAAAAATCATTATTCAGAAGGCACACTTCAGATTAATTAAAATTAAACTTTGTAATTGCACTATTGTCATTTCATTAATTTTTGGTGTTTGTGCTACTTCTCTTTAGTGAACTTATTACTAGTGATTGGTGTCTAACAAAACGATACCCAGTTGGATTAGAGATTCATATGGTTAGATTTTAAATGTATACTAACAGAACCAAGGTTAATAAATATATCTAGGCTGATGGGCCACAGAACCTGATGACTTTATGTAAATATACCTAAATATGGATACATTTTTCTAATATAATTCATGGATACTTACTTTGAGAAATTCAGCTTTTTTTATTATTATAAAGTCATGTAGCTTCACTCTGGCAGTAGTGTCCAGGTCGTAACTCTATAGAATCTGTTCCTCTCCATTCTTCTATTTGCCTTTAATAGTTCTAAAATTTTAAAGTTTGGGTTCTAAAAAGACTGTGAAAGTGTTAAAATGTGTGTAAATTTTCCAAACATTTTAATGCTAGTTTCTGTACTGCTGTATTTAAAAATTGTCTGAAATATTTTATTTTAAAACTTTTATTAACATTATTTTGCTCAATGACTTTATGATGAATCAATTAAAATTCTTTTCTGTATTATTTTTCTATTCTGTTATTCAGTTGAATGTACTGATTTTCATTTTAGTTTGTGGTTGTAAAAATAGTACATGCGCTTTGTAAAAAAAAAAACAATCATTGAAAACTCTTATCTACACAACAACCTGCACAGATACTTACAGCAGCTGTTGACCTAACACAAATAGACTGCCACTTAGCGAAAATGGGTTTATTCAAGATCAGCAAAGAATTACAACTCAGGGTCTGCGGCCATATTGACCATGTTCAAGTCCTCAGCAAAAACATGGAGAGAACTCTTAAGAAGAGAGGAAGTTTGGGAGGGCAATAGTAAACAGTCCTGCACTTAGCATTGGGTGAGTTGTGACTGTCTCTCATTGGCCGAGCTGTTGCTAGGTAACAAAGTCTGCTTCTTGTTAGACTCTGCTGTCTTCATAGGGCATACACGAGAGCTCCCCCTTCTAATCTGGCGACTTTATTTAATAGTAATTTTGATTAGAAATTTGTTTGCAAAATAAATTTTTATTTATATTTGTCACACAAAAGTATATGAAAAAAATTCTAAAATAATCTACACATTGATAGTCATTACTTTTTATTAAATCTTTTTTCCCATTTTATTTATTTTGCCGAAGTATACTTAATTTGGGGCTTCCCTGATAGCTCAGTTGGTAAAGAATCCACCTGCAATGCAGGAGACCCTGGTGCAATTCCTGGGTCGAGAAGATCCACTGGAGAAGGGATACGCTACCCATTCCAGTATTCTGGGGCTTCCCTTGTGGTTCAGCTGGTAAAGAATCCGGCTGCAATGTGGGAAACCTGGGTTCAATTCCTGGGTTGGGAAGATCCCTGGAGAAGGGAAAGGCTACCCACTCCAGTATTCTGGTCTGGAGAATTCCATGGACTGTATAGCTCATGGGGTCACAAAGTCAGACATGACTGAGCAACTTTCACATACTTTTTCTTTTACAGTGTTTCAGGTATATAGCAAAGTGATTCAGTTGTATATTTCTTTTTCAGATTCTTTTGCATTACAGACTACAAGACATTGAATATAGTTCCCTGTGTTTTATAGTAGTCCTTGTTATCTATTTTATATATAGGAGTATGTATCTGTTACTTTGTATTTATTTATCCCCCTTCCTTTCCCTGTTGGTAACTATAAATCTGTATTCTGTGTAAGTCTGTTTCTGTTTTTTAAAGAAGTTCACTCGTTTCATTTTTAGGATTCCACATATAAGTGATATATTTTTTCCTTCTTTGACATAGTATGATGATCTCTAGGTCCATCCATGTTGCTGCCAATGGCATTATTTCAATTTTTTATAACTAATATTCATATATATGAATATAATCCATAAAATCATATATATATATATATATATATACTTTATCCATTCATTTGTTGATGGACATTTATGTCACTTCCATGTCTTCACTATTGTAAATAGTGCTGCAGTGACCACTAGGGTGCTTGGCTTTAAGTAGTTTTTGTCCTCTCTGGATATATGCCTAGGCGTGAAATTTCTGGATCGGGTGGTAAATCTTTTTTTTTTTTAAGAACTTCCATACTGTTCTCCATAGTGGCTGCACTAGTTTACATTCCCACCTATTGTAGGAGGGCTCCCATTTGTCCATACCCTCTCCATTTATTTGTGGATTATTGATGCATTTATTATTTATGCATTTATGTAATTATTGAGCATTCATTATCTGTAGATTTTTGATGATAGCCATTCTGAACTGTATGAGATGATACCTTATTGTAGTTTTGAGTTTCTCTAATTTAGGGATGTTGAGCACCTTTTCATGTGCCTGTTAGCCATCTTTATGTCTTGGCAGGTATTTCTGCTGATGGGGAGGTTTGGTCAATACAATGCAGGTACATAGTGCATAGGGGAACGGAGAGAAAGCCAAAGAACAGAGAACATTGTTGAAGTTTTTGTTTTGCCATAAAATACAAATTTTATTTCACATCTCTTTTATAGGGGCACTAATCCCATTTGTGAGGGCTTCACCCTCTTGCAGTCACCTTCCAGATACAAACACGTTGGGGGTTAGGTGTCAACATACGACTTTCAGTGGAACGTTCACTTCCAATCCACAGCTAGTGTAAAATGATGTTTCCTACAGATTTTGTTAGATATGGACACCTTTTCTTATATTAAGGAAGTTCCTTTCTATCCCCAAGTTTCTAAGACTCCTTTAAACTTCTTGAAGAGATACTGAACTTTATCAAAATTTGTATTCCATCCTTTGATTTTTCCTATATTAATATGGTTGTTTAAATGTTAAACCAACCTAGCCTTCCTAAAATAGATCCAACTTGGTCTTGATGAAGTTTTTCTTTTTTATATTATCAGTTTGGGTTTGTTTGGGATTTTTCACATGTTTATGAATGAGATTGGGTATGTATAGGATCTGCAGTGATGTTTCTGTCTTGACATGTCTTTTTTGCTCTCTAGATGAGATCTGATAGGGGCTTATCAATCTTTCAGATTTTCAAAGACCCAACTTCTGGCATTGTTGACCCTATTATGTTTGTTTTCTATTTTCTATGATAGGTTTTGTTTTAAAATTTCTGCTCATTTATTTGCTATTGGAAAGGAGTCTTGGTTTTTCCGAGATTCTTAGCTCACCAATTTTTCAGCCTTTTCTCATGTAGCATTTGAGACTATAACATAAGCACAACTTCAGCAGCATGGTTTTTATATACAGTTCCATTCACCTTCTTGACACTTTAATGATGTTTTAACAGAAGATAAGCCATTAATGATGTGTATACTATTGCTTGGTACAATCTCATACTAGAAGGAAACTTCTGTTGAATTCCAGAATTGTTTAAAGCCCAGAGTGCAGTGGTTCTTAATCTAAGATCCCCCACGTGACAGTAATTTTTACCCTAGACGTATCAGTAGATTGACAAGCACAATTCAGCACTTGAAAAATCCCAGGAGATGTGGCTCAAAGGTAGAAAATAAAGATTCAAATCACTCTCATTTTACAGATTAACAACATAAGGCCAAGAAAGAGGAAAAAACCTGCTAACGTTCACTCAGTAAGTTTAATGACAACACTCAACACACCTTTGGGTAACTGACATGTCCTTTATTCTATATTGTCCTATTAGAGTTTTATTTACACCAATACTGTGATATGCTTAAGATATAGATCAGTAAATAAAAATATTAAAGATACCAGTACAGAAAATGCATTCAACAAATTAAAGCAAAAACCAAAGCTCTGGAACAAGACAAGCGTTAACCAAAAATGTTTGGATATACCCAGGGAACTCCTCTTATGAGCCACATCCCAGGCCTCTGGTCTTACACTTTATAGAAAACCCTCTACAATTTTAAATGCTTATTAACATAAGCATACATGAACTACCTTTATAATAAACAGTTGTTCAAATGTTAATAAGGTGCTATCTATGGTCCTAAAATAGGCCACTTCCATCTAGTAAGTATGGATCGTCATAATAACTACATAAATGTATCATGGTAAACAGAATACCTATATACATGAGCCATACTTGAGGCTCCAGCAGTCATGGGTATGAGGTGATCACAGGACATCCATTTCTAAAGCCTCAACAATGCGCGCGGCAGAAGGACGGTCTTTAGGATCTTCATTAGTGCATACGGAGAAGAGCTCAATTACTTTCTGGTATGTTGCATCCAGTTCCTCCATATTAATAGGTGGCCTAGTTCCCAGAGCTGCATAGTATGCATCATCATCAAAGTCACTTTCATCAAAAGTTTTATCTGCTCATGAAGGAGTTAAGAAACAATTAAAATCACTTTAAATCATGGAAAAGGTTAGCAACTGCTCAAGCTCACTGTCCTGAAATAATTCATCATCCAATATGCTTTTCATTTTACACAGTCTCTTAAACTGTCCTGCCATGGTGTAGATTAATTATTGTCAGGGATTTAAAGGTTAGCAACCCCAATCCCCTTACTAGGGTAGCTTTCTAATCATTTTCTCAGGCAAGAGGAGTTTTTAAGGTAACTTCTTGCTCCTCTGGATTTTCTCAATTTATCTCCCTGTTCTCAATATACATCTCATTTGTATGAGGTTAAACCAGTGTCTGACCCTGCAACCCCAAGAACTGTAGCCCACCAGGCTCCTATGTTCATGGAATTCTCCAGGTAAGAATATTGGAATGGGTAGCCATTCCCTTCTCCAGAGGATCTTCCCTGGAGGGGAAGAACCCAGGTCTCCCACACTGCAGGTGGATTCTTTACCTGGGATCAAACCCAGGTCTCCCACATTGCAGGCAGATTCTTTACTATCTCAGCTACCATGGAAGCCCCAATTTATAAATTATTCCTTAGTTCAAACTGAGAAGTTGGGATTTATGTTAAAAACACGTAGCTATACCTTCATCATCATCATCATCTGGAAGATTAATGTGTGGAATAGATAAAGTCATCATTTCCCACAGAGTAAGACCAAAAGCAAATATGTCTGCCTTGTCAGTAATAATACCATCCTCCTCCAGAGCTTCCTTAGGTTTCCAAGGCTCAGTGCCAATGTAACAGGCCTCAGGGTCAGTCACTGAAAACAAGATACAGGCAAACTGATCAAAAGGGCGAGCACCAGAAACCACTAAGAAAGGCAAACAACCCAAAGAAAAATGGGCGAGTTATTTAACAGGTAGTTTAATTAATATAGCCAGTAAACATGAAAATATATTCAATCTTGTAAAAAGAGGTTTTCTCTATCAGATTGTTACATATTCAAAAAGCTAGTCAGTAGGCAAGGGTGTAAAGAAACAATTCTCTTAGAAAGGGGCACAAACGTAGATTGTGGATGTCTGGAGCACAGACTTCAGCCAGACTGCCTCACCCGGGTTCAAAGACCTGTGCAAGCTCTGTGACCCTGAGTACATCACCTACTCTGTCCGTTTCTTCCTTTTCCAAACTGTGCTGTCTCAGCTGAGAGACGACCACTTCCCTGCCTCTAGGATTGCTAGATCAGCAAAGAGGGAACAGGTGGAATTACACAGAGGCTTTTAAGCTTCTCTGCCCAGGAATGACACAGGTCCACTCATGTTTCCATTTAAATGTCAGAGGCAACTTCTCAATTGTCATGAGACGGCCAGCTTTCTAGCTGAAACTGGGATTAGACTGAATCACTAGATCAATCTGGGAAGAATTAACATCTTAACAGTATTGTCAGTCCATAATCATGATCTCTCACTTACTTAACGTCTTAATGCTCTCAGTTAAGTTTTATGGTGTTCAATAAAAAGGTCAGACTTTTGGTTTGACTTATTCAATTATTTTATGCTTTTTGGTGTAGCGCCCCCCTCCTCATTTATCCCTGGGGGATACATTTCTGGATCCCCAGTGGATGCCTGAAACTAAGGACAGTACCAAACCATATATATATATATATATAGTATTTTTTCCCTATACATGCACATCTTTAATAAAGTTTAATTTATAAATTAGGCACTACAAGAGTAACAACAAAAATAACATAATAAGATAGAACAATTACAATATACTGTCATAAAGTTATGAGAATGTATTCACCATCAAAATTATCTTACTGTGCAAATGTGTGCCTTCTTCATAACCATGCACTTACAACACACAGTGCCCATAACTTTTAAGGTTTGAGGTGTAATAGCAAAACTAGTATAAATATTTTTCCTACTTCAAAATTTCACAGATACAAGTTGCAGCAGATCTCAGCAAACTCAGCATCCAATTTTTTTTCTTTCCTTATTAAGTCTAGAGCTTTCACCTTTTCACTTAAAGGAAGCACTTTATGGCTTTTCTTTGGCACATCTGAATTGCCAGCACCACTATATACTTTGGCAACATTATTAAGTAAAATAAGCGTTACCTGAACTTAAGCACTGCCATACCAGCAACAGCCATCTGATAACAAGGTGGCTGCTGGGTACCTTCCATCTAGATTAGGAATCCTTCAAGGGGAAGGACTGTGTCCTTTTCTCCTCTATATAGTGCCTAGCACAGTGCCCGACTATACATACTATTAAAAATATTTGGTAAATAATCAACCCAGAAATTACCATCATTAACATACGTACTTTTCATCAGGAAAAGACTGAAGGCAAAAGGACAAGGGGGCAGCAGGGGATGAGATGGATAAATAGCACCACCGACTCAGTGGACATGAATTTGAGCCAACTCCAGGAGACAGTGAAGGACAGAGGAGCCTGGTGTGCCGCGGTCCATGGGGTAGCAGAGTCAGACACGACTTACCGACTGAACAACAATGGCAATGCATCCTTGTAGCTTACTTATTTCATACATAGTAGTGTGTGTCTCTTAATTCCCTATCCTTTTCTTGGTACTTCCCTCTCCCCACTAGTAATCACCAGTTTGTTCTCCACATCTGTTTCTTCTTCGTGATACTCACTTGTTTATTTTCTAGATTTCCCAAGTGTGTGCTCAGTTGCTCAGTCCTGTCGACTCTGTGACCCCATGGACTGTAGCCCGCCAGTCTACAGGCAAGAATACTGGAATGGGTTGCCATTTCCTTCTTCAGGGGATCTTCCAAACCCAGGGATTGAACTCGTGTCTCCTGCATTGGCAGGCGGATTCTTTACCACTGAGTCACTGGGGAACACTCCACATTTAAGTGACAGGCAAATTTTTAATTTAGCTTTACAGTAAATGCCATCATAGTTACCTTCAAGGAAGCACAAACACAGGGTTCATGGCCATACAGGACTGATGCTGCCTGGCAGTGAAAATCTAAGGTATTAGTTAGCATGTTTACTAGGATTTTTGCTGTTTTTAGTATGCTTTGTTTTCAAGGGTGCATGGGTTTTGATTCTTCTGTTACAACTCTTCTGTAAGCCTAGTCCTAGCTTCTGACTTTTGCAGAAATTAATATAACAGATTAATGTAAAAAATACCCATACTGCCCAATTTTTTTTTTGGAATGTGTTCTTGGGAATGGAATTACAGGACTGAAGGGCATAAACATTTTTAAGGGTTGTTTTTCAGAGAAAAAACATATATCTAAACTGCCCTCTGAAAAGGCTACACACGGTGGTAATTACTATTGCTATTCCCCACCATCTACGTACACAGAAGGACTACCTTCTAGACACATAGGAGGACCACACTTTCCGGCCTGTCATGTTCTTGGGTGAAGCCATTTGACTAGTTCAGGGCAGTGACTTGTCAAAGAAGTGACGTACGTCATTTCTGAACTGGGGCATTTAATTGTCAGGGCAAGACTTTCTAGGGTGGCACTGTACAACAGAACTTTGGTGATGATAAAAATGTCCTTTATCTGTATTGTCCAGTATGGTAGTCACTAGCCACATATAGCTACTGAGCACTTGAAATGTGGCTAAAGTGGCTGAGAAAATGAATTTAAAGAATTTTTAATATATTAATTAGTTTAAATAGCCATACATAGCTAGTGGCTACTGTAGCAGACAGGCTGCCTGGTACCTCAGTAGTAAAGACTGCCTGCAATGCAGGAGATGTGGGTTCAATTCCTGGTTCAGGAAGATCCCCTGGAGAAGGAAATGGTAACCCACTCCAGTATTCTCACCTGGGAAGTCCCATGGACAGAGGAGCCTGGTAGGCTACAGTCCACAGGGTCACAAAGAGTCGGACACGGCTGAGTGACTAAACACAACCAAAAAAACTGCAGTGGACAGTGCAGTTCTAGAGTTTTTTACCTTCCACAGTGATGGACACAGTGACAGCAGTATTCCATACAACAGATACCCTAGCGTGTTAGGTCCTGATGTGAGAATGACATGGAACACAGGCCTAGTGGATATGCAGCTTGAAAAATAAGCCTTGCTTATTTTAAGGTACTGAGTTTTTGAGGGTTTATGTTACCATAATAAAAAAAACCTTAATGATAACATTACGACTTCTATGTAGTGCATGAGAGTATGTTAACCTAAACTCTTGTTCATACTAGAATGGGGAAATTTTTCAATGACTTTTCTAGTAGTCATGACTTCTTTTAAAAAGTGCTTTCTGCCTCTCATGTCCTTCTTAAGCCCAACATTAAGGAAATATTCACCAACAATTTTTTCTGTTACTTTTTAAAAAATCTTCAATCTACAGAGATTAGAGTGTGAGAACAGAAAACAACTTTCTCTAAAATACAGATACCATCATTTACTAATTTAACTACCTCTTTTCCCACTAATACAAAAACGTCACCTTTATCATATAACAAATCTCATATATTTGGGAACTATCTTTTGACTCTTATGTTGAAATTTTCTGTCTAGTTTGGCATTAGTGTCACTTACTACAGTTTCATAATACTTAACATCTCATCAAGAAAATTCCTACTCAACACTTTTTCACAGAATTTTCCTGGCTGTGTTTGAACATGTATCCTCAAGGATAATCTCTATATTCTCTTTGATATGTTCTATAATAACATAGATTATATTGCGATATTGCAAAATTTGTAGATTTTTAAGTCATTTCTGCTTTTTTCTTCTGGGGTTTCATTTTTTTTTTTTTCCTAATTTCAGCTGAAAACTCAGTTTCATAAAGGTTAAATAATGACAGTGTTTTCCTTTGAGTACTTTTGGACCATATCAAATAGGTTTTGATTTGCTCTTACATTCTCATTATTCTCTAAATAGTGTGTAACTGGAATTTCACTACTTCTCAGCTAAGGACTATTTACAAATATTTTAAATTCCTGAAAAAACTGAGTTTTTATTTCCAACTGTACATGAATTTCTATATTTATAGATCTGAGGATAATGAATGTTAACCTTTAGTCTATTCTTACTTTTGTAACTTGAGGTTTTCTTTTGTAACCTAACCAGTATATGGTCAATTTTAATAAATATTCTAACGCATAGAAAATGAACTTATTATTTACTTAGATCTTCTACATCTTAGTTTGTCTATTAGATCTATTAATGATTGAGACAATTAGGCTAAAATCTTATTTTTATTCTTTTTGACAATTTCTCCCTTTATTTGCTAAAGTTACAACCTCGTACCAGTTATTTGGCCTAAGGGTTCATGCCAGTTCTACCTTTATTGACTACAGACATCATTATGAAGTCAATTTATTTATCTTGGTGTTTTCCTTCAATTCAACTTGTAGACTTTAACTGGAAATTAAGATGTACGTAAGTTATAAACAGTATTAGCCTCCCCTATACCTTATATTTTGGAGACAGGAACAGCAACCCACTCCAGTATTCTTGCCTGGAGAATCCCATGGACAGAGGAGACTGTTAGGCTATGGTCCATCGGGTCACAAAGAGTCGGGCACGACCGAGCGACTAACACACACACACACACACACACCCCTTCTATTTATATAAAGAGGCAAATTTAAATGTTATTTATTAAATAATATGTTAAAAGCAGTGGTTTTCCTTGAGGCTTCTGGATTTTGGCTCTGTTCCTCATCAAGAACATATCTTAAATTCCCTGCAGTTTCTCCAACAAATGGTGCTAGGAAAGTTGTACAGCCCTATGAAGTTACAACATACCCCCTCACCATCCACAAAACTCAAAATGCCTTAAAGGCTTAACATAAGACACCATAAAACTCTTTAGAAGAGATCACAGGCAAAATGTTCTCTGACATAAATCATACCAATGTTTTCTTAGGTCAGTCTCCCAAGGTGATAAAAATAAAAACAAAAATAAACAAATGGGACCTAATCAAACTTACAAGCTTTTGCACAGCAAAAATCATAAGCAAAATGAAAAGACAACCCACAGAATGGAAGAAAATATTTGCAAACAATGCAATTCACAAGGGATTAATGTCCAAAACACACACACAGCTCATATGACTCAACAACAACAAAAACAAACCCATAAAAAAATGAGCAGAAGATCTAAATAGACCGACATTTCTCCAAATAAAAAAAAAAACATGGCCAACAGGCATGTGGAAAGATGATCGACATCACTATTAAGAGAAATGAAAATCAAAGCTACAACGAGGTACCACCTTCACACGAATCAGAGTGGCCATTATTAAAAAGCCTACAAATAACAAATGCTAGAGAGGACGTGAAAAAAAGGAACCCTCTACACTGTTGGTGGGAATGTAAGTTGGTACAATCACTGTGGAAAACAATATGGGGGTTTCTCAGGAAAACTAAAAATATGACCCAGTAATCCCACTCCTGGGCATGTATCCAGACCAAAACAGAATTCAAAGAGACACATCACCACTAGGTTCACAGCAGCACCGTCCACAATAGCCATGATGTGGAAACAACCGAAATGGCCACTGACAGATGAATGGATAAGAAGACATGGTACATATATGCAATGGAATACTACTCAGTCATAAAACAGAATGAAATAACGCCATCTGTAGCAACATGGATGCAACTAGAGATTATCATACTAAGTGAGGTAAGAGAAAAAGACAAATACCATATGATATCACTTATATGTGGAATCTAAAATATGAGACAAATGTACCTGCCTATGAAACAGAATCATTGGTACAGAAGACACACCAGTGCTTGCCAAGGGGGAGGGGGCTAGGGAAGGGATGGAGGGGGACACAGGGGTTAGCAAATGTAAGCTTTTATATATAGAGTGGATAAACAACAAGGTCCTACTGTACAGCAGAAAGCTGTATTCAATATCCTATGGTAAGCCATAATGGAAAAGAATATTTTAGAAAAAGAATGTATTAAAAAGAAAGAAAGAAAGAACATACCTTAAATTCCCTGAGAATGGTTAGTATTCACAATAAAGAGAAGAATGAGGTGGGGTGGGCTAAGGGGCAAAACGCAGAAGACTGGCCTTAGTAAGTAATCCTTTTCTACTCCCATTCCAGTTTTTTCTAGCAGTTTCCCAAATCTTGTCATTATGCTGATGCTAAATGAATTTCTTTATAAAACATAAAAATTTTATTTTCTATTCCCAGATCTTTTACCACTTAAAATCCCAATCCAGGTTAGAAACACTTCTCCATGTTTCTTCAATTAAAATATATACTAATGAGAAACCAATAATTTATATTGTGTATGTGGCAAGGGAAGGGGCTGGAGGCTGAGTAGAACAGAGACAGAAGAGATATTTTTTATTACACACTTTTTATTAATAGTTTTTGATTTTTGAAGAATGTGAAGTTATTATTTTTAAATATGTAATTAATAGAAACTTTAAAACTGTACAGAAACCAGTTTAAAATAGAATTCTGCTTACCAGTCATATTTTCATCCAATGGAAGAGAGACTCCTACATCACAGATTTTAATTGTTTCAAAATCACCTTTAATAACAACATTTGAAGACTTTATATCTCCATGGAGCAGTTTCTTATCTTGGTGCAGATACTAAAATAGTGAAAAATTTAAAACATCTGAGCAAAAATACAAACTAATAAAAAAGTGTATAACTTTCAAACAAAAATAACAACCTGAACTCCCTGCCTAACATACAGACTTCTATCTGTCTATCATTTCAAACTATTTGATGCTAGAGAAGGGACCATCCCATGCCATCTCTTAGTCTACCATACTCACCAGAAATCTGAAAGATTCTTTGGAAATTGATGTCTATTTACAGATAAACCAGCTTTTAATTTTCAAGCCAACCTCACATACTTATACATCAAAGACTGATACTGCAGATTTCAAAATGTACTACAATTTTACAAAATGTACGATTATTTTAGAAATAATTTTGTAACCTTCACAATGACAGTTTCTGCAAACAAATTATTGAGATAATGCTACACATACTTCACAAGAAGAGGAAGCAGTAATGTAATCTAAGGCTATACTTTAACCCTTTCTTAGAAATGACAAGTGATAATATTCATCCACAATCAAAAACATCGTACAAAACAGTTTTTTTCATTCATCAGCATTTAGGCATCTACACTCCATGACTTGGGCCTGCAAAAGATGCAGAAACAATTCTTGGTATTGAACTTGGAACACTTACTATGCTTACTTAAATGCTGTTAACCATAAATTGAATATGCTCAAATATATTTATAATGTAATTTATTAAATCTATTATACACACACATTTAAAATAATTATTAAATGATTAAGATTATTAGCTTATCCGACCTATTTAAAATAGGTTTTTCTATAGCATATTAAAATATATATTTAAAAATACATATATATATTTAGAAATACTGCCTTTTTCCATTTTCACATTTCATGAATCAACTTTATTTGAACTCAACATGCAACTCTTGACATCACTACATTACATAATCTGTTTTTTGAGTCATCTAACAATTTTCTGGAGCCATGATTACTTAAGTTATTCAGGATACAGAATTTTTATTTCTAACAGCATGTCTAACTCAAAGAATCAATAATTTATTTGTATAACCCTGAAAGGGTTTTTTCATTTGACCTATAGATGTATATAAACAATGTCTAATAACATCCCACAAAGCAGTCTTTGAAAGGCTTGTTTACAGCAACAGAGGGTTAGAATATACCCCCAGGAATAATGACTAAATAACAGTCCAATTAACTAAATCTAACATGCAATCTCTATAAGCAAAACTTCCTGACATGGGTGATTTCAGGCCATGTGAAAGTGTGAAGGCCTCTAACAATACTTTGCTGATCAAAACAGTATACTCTTCAGTATGAAAGATTCTATAAAGATTTAAGGCAACTCCCTCTCTTGGAAAAAAAAAATTTTCACCTTGTAACTAGGTATATTAGTATCTGTCCATCATAGATGAATAGATAAAGAAAATGTGGTATACACACACATACACAATGGAGTATTACTCAGCCATTAAAAAGAATGAAACAATGTCATTTCTAGCAACATGGATGGACTTAGTCATACTAAGTCAGAAAGACAAATACTATATCACTTATATGTGGAATATAAAACACACAAATGAACTTATTTACAAAGCAGAAACAGACTCACAAATATAGATAACAGAGCTGTGGTTGACAAGGGGGAGGCTGGGTGAGAGAGGGAAAGATTGGGAGTTTGGGATTAGCAAATGCAAACTACCATATATAGGATGGACATACAACAATGTCCTGCTGTAAAGAACAGGAAATTAAATTTAATATCCTGTGATAAACTACAATGGAAAAGAATATGAAAAAGGAGATATAACTGAGTCACTTTGCTGTACAGCAAAAATTAAACACGACATTGTAGATAATTTCATATTTTTAGGTTCCACAAAACTCATTCAAAACATAATAGCATAGTTACCTTTAACCCTTTTGCCATGTTCAAAGCAACTTTTAAAATTATGGCTGCTGGAAAAGGATCTCGGCTATCTTTATTTCGTTCTTCTATTAAGTCATTCAGAGACTTTTCACCTCCATATTCCATAGCAAGACACAGACTGCCATCGCTAGCTTTAGTGAAAGCACGGTAACCTTAAAGAAAACACGTCATTTTCTTATTGGAGTAAGGAAAAACGAAAGTATTAATTCTTTTACAGTAATGTGACTGAAAACAGATCTGGATCAACACTGTCAAGTACAAAATGAAACAGCTAGTGCTTACAAAACTTGTTTAGTAGATCTAATTTTAAATGCCTTCAGTGTTTGCCAACAGTATCACAAACTGAAATATTTTTTAATACTCTATGCCTTCCTCAGAGAAGGCAATGGCACCCCACTCCAGTACTCTTGCCTGGAAAATCCCATGGATGGAGGAGCCTCGTAGGCTGC